TAAACGTCAGGACCTGATCCTCGCGAGGACGAGGGGCTCCGCCAGCTTAACGCTACGCCACCAATGACTTTATTCGTTTCGTATATAGGTCCGGTAATTATGGTAATTCGGCACGGCCCACGGAGGACCCGGTTTTCCTGAGAAACCCGCCGATCCAACCAACGGTTTACGACGAATGTTGAAGCGCTCCACGCGATCGGCAAATGATATACGGCCCGTACCGGTGGGCACACGGCTGCCTCGCTTGTAATATTCAGCCGATTTCGTGAGAATCGTATTACTCGATTAAGTAACTCGCGGAGTGTAGAGGAGACTCGTGTGCAGTCTGAGAATCATCGGCAATTTTGAAATTGAACCGTTAGGGATGGTTCTCTCGGTTTTGCGAATTTCTTTTGCAAGGGTTTCATTGGCGATGTGTTATTTTCTGTTTGGCTGAGAGGGGAGGATTACAATTTATATATTAGAATTTCCTCTGTGTGCAGTATAATTCGATATTAATTTATATAATCATGCAAATTACATATTTCTTCTAAGGATTGTTCCTGCACTTGATCTCGAATTAAAAAATAAATCAAAAAAATCTTTTCAGAAAAAAATCAGTCGCTCTTTATTACCGTGTCTCATCATTTACAACGAATAATCTTTAAGCACTTAATCATCTCTTACCAGAATATTACTTAAACAACCATAACCATTTGCCCCTTGCTAAATTCTTAATTATAACACACTCGGACGACTCCATCGAAACCACCGCGTCATAAATCACCGAAATATCATTCCCCGTAATCGTCCCGAAAACCCATTTCTCACGGAAATCCCTCCTACTTTAACACTCCCGTGAGTTAATCGCTCTTGATTACCAATCGAGCGGCTCAGAGTTGCCGAATCTTCGATTAAAGCGAACGGAGCGGAGCGAGTCTGTTACAAAAGTGTGACTCGTTTGGCCACGTCGTGACGGCGTGGGCAATAACACGGGGAAATACGGCTGTCACGCAGTAGTCGCGCATTAACGGCCAAGCTGCGCGGCTACACGTGTAATTACAAGCGTATAATTCACGTGTCGCGTACACTCTCGCGAAAACGTTTACGACCGCGTCGAGGTCTGATCGAGGTGGACGATGGAAGCGGCCGCGCGAGCGAGCTTACCCGCCGGTAATTACGAGCGATCAATCAACGTGAACCAACAACGGATGGAAATACCACGGGTAAACAGCCGGTGACTTACGTTTTCGGCCGTGCGCGTTCGGCGCGGGTGATCTCTTAATTGCGTCTTTCTCCGCCTCGACTCCGGCGCGACTGCAGCCCGCTTATTTATCCGAGGTAAATGTAAATCGCTGGCAACAGTTTATCCCCTTGCCCGCTCCAGACGTCCGTCCAGAAGAAGAGAATAATTAAGCACAGGTGTTAGCACGCGAAGTCCACGGGCACGCGGAAATTTACAACCGAGGAATGAGTTATTCGGCCTGTGACTTTACCTTTATCGGCCATTATTAATTATTCGAAATTGCCAGCGCGGCCTGGAATATCGTTTCGACGGACGGAATTTTTTTTTTTTGTAACTCGTGCACGTATCGCGTGGGGAGACTTGTGACCAAAGTGCAAGAGAGAATCGTGCAACACTGATTGATCGAATTATTTCTCGCTTCTATTCGCGAACCAATTTTTTTCAAAATTTTAATTTTTATCAAGAATAATTCGCGTCACATTAAGAAAAGATTGAAGTATGAATTTTTCCCTATTTATTAATAAAAGTTTTCTTCCAACAAGCTCTACACCACGACAAAATCATAAAACTGTACTTCTAACGTGAAAACTTTTATATTTGACAGAAATATTCGTACCATTCTCCTTAAACTTCGATTGATTTAAATTATTTAAAAAAAACTTCTTACCAATGACCGCTCTACATCGAATCAATTAAACGTCGAAAATTTTAGAATTCTATAAATTCATCGAATCGAAGATGGCCCTCTTGTAATAGAGATTTAGAATTTGACAATTGATGTGAATCGATGGAGAATGAAAGAGAATTTTCTTGCTCTGAGGAATACAGCAGTAACGATTGATATAAAAATAAATAGATTGAAATAAAAATAAATATCAATAATTAGGTCATAAATTGATTAGGTTGCTCACCGGCAGAAAGATGACCGTAGCTACCGCTCGCGCTGCTACTCCGCGATCCGTTGACGATGGAAGCCAGGCTGTTCGGACTGAATCGGATCATGCTGTCGATGTCGAAACGATCTGAGTACGGGGAACTGCTCAACGCCCGCTTCCGGCTTGCTCTGATCGCCGACGCCCTTGGGCTTCCTAACCTCGATGATGCTGACACTAGAAATCAAACATTTTTCATATTAGTTGCATCACTTTCAGAATTGAGAATTGAATTCAATTTTGCCGGTGTTCTTCTTCATACATGAGACTTGAATTTAATCAGCGTTTTTAAGATTGAGAATTAAATATTCACTGTTCAGCCGATGATATCAGCTTTCGTATTTAACATTCAGTTGATGTTTTCTTAAAATACAGACGAATAAAATCGATTTCGATATCTTTTACATTAAATGTTCTTTTGAGTATAGACAAACAGATTCAATCGTTAACTTCTAATCTAACTCATGCAAGTTCAAGCATCAGTGACCCATGCTCGAGGGATACTAGTTCGACAACTAATTTTAGAAACAATTCGCAACTGTACGTAAAAAAAAAAAATACACGGTATGCGCATCTCGAATCGTTGCGAACGTCGCAAATAGCAAAAAGACACGAGCGACAGAAATGGCACGACTCGGGAGAATCGCAATAACGTTGGTTGCCTGGCCGAGCATTAAAGTCTCCGTGTCTCGACGATCTCTCTCTCTCTCTCTCTCTCTCTTGATTCCTTGACAACGTAAACATCCCGCGTAGAAATCCAACGTTGAAATATCGACGCACGAGGGCATCGTGGAATCGATTCGCAACGCGGATACAACAGACAGTTGCGCGAATTTCCATGCAAAAGCCGGCCACAGCTTGGAGACGATGCCAGACGCAGAACCAGTTCAATTAAGCGCTACGAATTCTTGCGGCTGGTACACACTACCGGCGACGAGGAATATTCCGTGGCGTGGATTTTTAAAAAAGTTCTTGCCTTTCGGTGCGCGCCACGCTCGTAACCAGGTAAGATATCCAGAACTGAGAGCTGCGAAGGAAGGCCGAGGCAGAAGCGGAGGAGAACGATGGAAAAGGAGGTGGACAGGAGCGAGAAGGAAGGCGGATTCTGCGGCCAGAACGTTTTAGCGGCGATTTGCCTGCGACCGCAGGCCAACGACGTAATATACAAACCACTTTCTTAAGCCCGTGGTGGCGGCTCGCTTGTATGGGAGGCATCGTTGGTTATATGGTGGTGGTTCTTCGTTTCTTCGTTCTCTTCTTCTTTTCTCTTCCCGACCACGTCTTCCAACGTAGATTCAGCTTTCCCCTTATCATTTCTCGCTCGAGTTCCGTACATTTTGTCACTTGTGCTCTGAATTTCGTGTAAATGTTGCATACTTACAAGAGAAAATGATTATTGTAATTGTAGGCTTTCCACTAGATATTAGATAGTTTCCTCCCCTCTTCGTGCTAATTTAATTTTTCTCGACTCGAAGCTTGATAATTTATTTACTGTGTCATTTTATCTTATACGAGAGAGTCTTCATTAAGGGCTAATGTTGCATTCACGCAATGTTTCTTCCAACAATTTGTATTAGTCAAATTAGTTAATCGTTTTAAGATTGCGCCCTTAAAGAGGAATAATTGCTCGATGTCCTTTCGCAACTATTTCCATAATTTCCATATGAATTTTTGAATTTTGTGAAATTTAGAAATTTAAAAGTATTTATTTGAGAATAATTTAACAATTTTGCATTATATGAATCACGCATAAGAAAGGTTGAATAAAACATAGGCCAGATGGCGTTGATAATCGCCGAATATCGCCGAAGATACTTCATTATTGCTTTAATAAATAATTATTGAACCTCTTTATCTCTTTATCTCGCGTAGAATATAACGAGAACAGTAATGAGTCAATTCTTCCATTCAAAAGTTTATCAACGGAGTAAATCATCTTCCTCTTCACACTAACTCTCCCTATTCGTCAAAATTTCCGACAAAAACTCGCAGCGTTTCTTCTCGATTCGCTTCTTCGTTTCAACTGGCTGCTCGAGCTTCTCTCCGTCTCCTGCGTGTCGTCTCGCACGAAGCAACGCGATACAGAGAGGAGGAGGCTCGAAGCAGCTCTTTCTCCTCGGTTTCCACTCGGTTGATCGCTCGTTCGCGCACAACGGCGTATAGAATTACTCGCGGTTGGAGCTCCCTCGCCTCTCGCGGACGCGCCTTCTTTTATCCCCTCGCCCCCTCCCGTTATTAATTCGAGCACTGATCAAGTTTACGATGGTCGAACGGAAGAAAAGCGAACGAAGAGCAACGAGGGAAAAAGAGGGAAGCCGAGATCGACTGTCGCGTGGTTCTTCCGCATGAGATGAAACGTTTAAGGTTCCTCGACGGTCTTCGTGGCTTGATCGAGGTCGTTCGATTTCATTCCTCTCGATTTACCTGTGCCCTC